TATATATATATATAATAAAGCAATATATTTTTTCAATTTACGTTGCGAATTAACTCCTTTCGGTCAGCGCACACAACGGTGCTTGCGACCATTCGTTGTTGTTTTTTTACCTGTTACAATTTAAGGCTATTTTTTTTAAGTCAAATAGTGTAGAATAGTGACACCAGTATGTGAGGAGATAGTAAAAATCACTACAGAATAAGGACCTTTGCACTTAGAATTGACTTTGGGTATGTCTTTATGCTCTTAAGTAGGAAATGTTTACCTGTCAAAGGATTTTTAATACACTGCAGCCAGTTTGGGTATTTAGGCACCCCTGTCAGATAGGAAAGCCGGGTCCAACCTCAAATGCAGCTGCCATACAGTGCCTAACACCACACCACAAGTATGCTCATTTCACGGTATTGCGTTAGTACCTAGAGAAGTGATCAGTCTGAACATTTTGTTCTCACTCCTTGTCAGCATAATCATTGTCAGCACATCTGCACTGCTGCGGAGCCTGATGGACTCAGTAATAACTCTTCCCCTACTTATCAGTGTCCCATGCAGTGGGTTACATGAGGCTGATATGAAGACAAATGCAGGTACTTTATACAAAATACATTAAAGGAGAACTATGGGGTCAGTGTTTTTCCCCATAGTTCTCCTCAGGGTAACGGGAGGACACAAACTAGCGTCCTCCCGTTACCCTAAGCTCAGCATACCGCGAGCTACAGCTCGCGGTATACTGAGACGCCGGAGCGGATCCCGACTTAGATGACGGGATACGCCCAGCTGCGTGACTGACAGCTGGCTCTGCCTATCTAGAGGCAGAGCCAGCTGTACCCGCCCCCTCTCCCGTCCGTTCCGCCAGTCAGCACTGGCAGATCGGAGCGGGGAGAGGGGAATCCAGCCCCTCCCCCTGTCACGGCAGAGAGCCGTGACAGGATCGAGAGGTGAACGAACCCGGTATGTGTTCGCTTACCTCCCGATCAACTGAGCCGACCTGTGACAGTCTTATTGTCACAGGTCGGCTAGAACTATGAGGTGAGAGTGAAAAGCACTCACCTCATAGTTCTCCTTTAAACTATTGTTTTATACTATGAAACAGTTTTTTTTTTTTTAAGTTCCTGTTTGGTTCTTAGACTCTAGAAGCAGGTGCTCCAAGGTCTTAGGTTAACTCTAAAATTTAGAATAACATATGTTCAATATAAAATAGGAGCTCACACTGAATTGCAGAGCTTCTGCCCTGAAATTTGCAAAGTGCAATGGAAGGAATTGAAATATGTGATATACAGTTAAGCCTGGAAATAACTGAACACTGACACAAGTTTTGTTATTTGGCTGTTTTCCAAAATAAATTCAAGTTACAGATAAATAAAGAATCTGGGTTTAAAATGCAGTCTCTCTGCGTGAGTGTATAGGCATCCATATTTGAGGAAGGGTTTAGGAATTACAGCTCTTTAATATGTAGCCCCCTCTTTTTCAAGGGACCAAAAGTAATTCGACAATTGACAGGTGTGAGCATTTCCTTCCTTATTTCATTGTCAGGTAAAAGGTCTGGAGTTGGTACCAAGTGTGGCATTCGCATTTGGAAGCCCTGCTGTGAACCCACAACGTGCGTTCAGAGGAGCTCTCAATGTTAATGAAACATGCCTTCCTTAGGCTGCAAAAATAAAAATAAATCCATCAGAAAGATAGCAGGAACTTTAGGAGTGGCCAAATCAACATTTTGGTACAGTCTGAGGTAAAACAGACTGACCTGGTCGTCCATGGAAAGCAACAGTGGTGGATGATCGTAGGATTATTTCCATGGTAAAGAAAAACCCCTCCACAACATCCAGCCAAGAGAAGAACACTCTCCAGGGGGTAGACATATCATTATACAAGTCTACCAGAGAAGACTTCACAAGAGCAAATACAGAGGGTTCACCACAAGGTGCAAACCATTCATAGGCCGCAAGAAAAGGCCAGATTAGACATTGCCAACCACATCTAAAAAAAAGCCAGCCAAGTTCTGGAACAGCATTCTTTGGACCGATGAAACTAAGATCAACCTGTACCAGAATGATTGGAAGAAAAAGGTATGGAGGAGGCTTGGAACGGCTCATGAACCAAAGCATACCAGATCATCTGTAAAACACAGTGGAGGCAGCATGATGGCATGGGCATGCATGGCTTCCAACGGCACTGGGTCACTAGTGTTTATTGATGATGTGACAGAAGACAAGCAGTCAGATGAATTCTGAAGTGTATAGGGATATATTGCCTGCTCAGTTTCAGCCAAATTCAGCAAAGTTGATTGGACAGTGCTTCATTTTACAGATGTACAATGACTCTATACTGCGAAAGCAAACCAGGAGGCAAACAAGTGGAATATTTTGCAATGGCTGAGTCAGTCACCTGATATCAACCCGATCAAGCACGCATTTTACTTGCTGAAGACTAAACGTTGGGCAGAAAGACCCACAAACAAACTACAACTGAAGACAGCTGCAGTAAAGGCCTGGCAAAGCATCACAAAGGAGGAAACCCAGCATTTCGTGATGTCCATGCGTTCCAGACTTCAAGCAGTCATTGCCTGCAAACGATTCTCGACACAGTATTAAAAATGAACATTTTATTTATAATTGTATTAATTCGTCCAAATACATTTGAGCCCTTGAAATAAGGCGTCTGTGTATGAAAATGGTTGCAATCCCTAAACGTTTTATATAATATTTTTGTTCAACTCCTTGAATTAAAGATGAATTTGCACTTAATTTGCATCTTGGTTGTTTCATTTCTAATCCATTGTGTGGTGGCATACATAGCCAGAATTATGAAAATTCTGTCAGTGTCCAATTATTTCTAGACCTAACTGTATTTTTTTTGATGATGCTATGTTTACCATGTAGGTTTTGCTTACCATAAGATTTTCAGTTGCTTTTATTTGTAAAAAAGATCTGTTTTTTTTTTTACAATGCCAGGGAAATTACATTCTGTCTTAAACCTATGTACTTTATCCTACAGAAACACAACTTGGCTCAGAAATTCAAGACAATGAGCAAGAGAATCAACCAGATTTAACTGAGACTGCCCCAGTGCCACCACAGGTAGGATTTATTTAATCAATGGCATGACAGTGTACAATGATAGAGAATGTTGCTTGTGCACTAGTTAATGTATTACTAAAGGCTGGACATGTTTTACCCTAATGCATTCTATGCATTAAGGTAAAAAAAAACGTTCCTTTTAGACTCCCTGGTCCCCCTCCACACTTACCTGTCAGCGGCGCTTGTCACCGCCGCCGGTCCCTGCAGCAATCCATTGTCCCAAATTTCCTGGTTCTGGGGGAGGATACTGAGGGCAGAGGAGTCATAGCCTCCTTCTGCTGTCTGTCAAACTGCTGGGCGAGGAGGAGGGGAGTGGCCTGCTGCAGGGCTGTGTGTGTCTATGGACGCACACAGCCACTGCCGGCATGGCTCTGAATGAGCATGCACGGGTGCCTCCACAGCAACTAGGGCGAAAAGCACTGCAGGGACTCACTAGAAAACGAGGATCTGAAATAAAAAACAAAGAGAATTTCTATATAAATGCAGTCTCCTAGTAATAAATATTTTAAAACAATTAAAGTTTAATATCACTTTAAGCATCCAGCCCACACAAGTGACATTTAAAGTGACACTAAACTCAGGAGTTAAATCTTAAAAATGTATTCAAGTACTTTAACTTATACCAAAAATTTATCTTATTTGTGCATCACTCAGCTGTAGATCCTCAAATCATCTCTGAATTGTTGCTGACACTGTCCTTCCCTCTGGAGGATGGCTACTTTTGTTCCCCATAGTCCCTGTGTGTGTTGTAAAGTATCCACCACTCCAAACTCTCTCCCGTGATGGACTACAATCTCTATACAAATTAGTAAACTAAAAATGAGATTGTAGGGACCACCCTAAAAAGATTGGGCTTACTGGAAAAGGTGCAAGGTAAAGAATTATTTAAATATCAGTTTAAGACTAACATACACCTAAATTCCACCTTTTGCAAAAAAATGTATACATGCATCCACATTGAATTTAAAAGAACATTAGCCTTTATGTTTATTTTTTTTGCAATGGAGCCTGCAAAGCATTGCGATCACTTATCACTGGATCACAGGTGCAATGCCCAGGCTCCTGCAGACTGTTCCTGATGTCATCACACTTGTAGTTCATTGAGAACTATCAGTCCCTCTGTTGTGTCAGTTTTTTCATGCACAACCAAGATAAGTTATTAAATGGACAAGACACTGCAGAGAGAAGCACCCCCAGATATAGTATGAGGGGCGCCGACTGTAACCATGTTTCTTGTTACACCCTAAATATGGGTGTAACATGAAACATGGTTAAAAGATGGTATTAGCCTTTAAATGATGGATGGAGCTTGGTATGCTAAGTATGTCCTTGCATTCCTATATATAGAAGTAACTCCAACAGCAAGATTTCCCTGACCTAATTTTATAACCTGTCCTTTCCACCTAGAGGTTTTGAGTTCTCCTGCCCACCTTTGCATTGTTCTAGCAACTTCTGCTGCAGTCTTCATGTTATGACATAAATAAAAAATACAACATGAAATGTAGATGTTCAGATACCAAGTACCTTACTCGGTACAAGTACATGTACAGATACTTTTCCAGGTCCAGGACCAGACTAGAGAAAAATTCAAAAGTTAGGAGGCAGCTGTCATTTTGTAAGGAGCACACGGAGCTCCTGGGATTTGTACATTTCTGTTTTTAATGCAATATTTAGTTTTTATAAATATATATAAGTGATGCACCGATACCATTTTTCCAAGTACAGGTACTGATACTTGTCCAAGTACTCACAGATACAAGCACTGATACATTTTTGTTTATTGTCATGTGACAGTTTTTCTAAAACAATACAAACTAATGATTTCAGGACAGTGGTGGACCACATGAGCTAGGTCCCAGCTGCAACTTCTCGTAAAATTGTCAAGTATCGGCAGTAGTATCTGAACTGGTATCTGGACATCCCTAAAATGTAGGACCCCCCTCTGCAGGTGGGCAGACCAAGGAATAATCACAAAGATCTCACCAATAAAGTCCCTGCAAACGTAAGAAACTGACAGGTGGTTTAACTGTCCAGCATCTACCAAAAACTGGAAAATCATCAGTGAACTAACCCTTTACATAGCAAAGAAACTCTTCTGCCTGTTTATGAACATCCACTGCTATGTACATGTTGGGGGATCGCTGCATTTCTGCTTATGAAGTAGTCAGCTGGAGCAGCAGGCTATCACTATTTCCCCAGAAATGGACAGAATATCAGACAAAAAAAAAACAACAACTTCTCATATTAATTTCTTTCCTAGTCCTCTGATATTGTCATGCATGCACCATACATAGTAACATAACATTTGTGTACTATGAGAGGCTCTTGCAGTGTATAGGTCACTATTCTTCCTCAAGTGGTCTTTCATGGAATAAGGCTGCAATATGAGCAGGGATCGCTACAGTCAACAGCAAATACACCACCGAGGAGGCTAGGTTAGAAAGCAGGACAGAATAGTGCTATGGTGCACCTCTGACTCTAGCCATCTGTACTGAGCTACCAGCTACCTGACCTGGGATCTTAAATACATACATTTTGATTAGGGTTTGCTTGGCACTTGGCCACCTGGATCAGCCTGTGCCTTACAAAGACGTTAAATAAATGAATTTATGTTTACACTGTAGTCACCAGCAAAACATCTGTTTAATACACTAGCCATCTGGACTAAAGACCTTTTTACAAATTAGTTTCAGTGAGGGCTTTGTTTACACAGTATCCACTCTGATTTGTTTTAAAAAAAAAACAAAAACAAACGGTCGTCGGAAAAATACTTGATTGCCATGGCTGACCCCTTTCTATAAAATTGCTAGTTGTCATACTGATTCTGTGGTTTCAGACATGAAGTAAGAGAAGTCAGAGTGAACTGTACATTTGTTCTGGTCTGCAACTCAAGTACTGAAGCCAGAGGACCTACATTATGGTTGGCTAGCTAGCATTTCCAGAAGTGCAGTTTCAGCAGTTACAGTGGCAACCTACATATTTTTTGGTGTTTACTTTATATTTTGGGGACCAGGAGGAAACGTGCTTTTCATTATTGGACAGATATGCTTGCTTTTTACAATAGCCACTAGAACCGCCGTGTACATATTGATGAGTGATGTCATATTACAAATTGATGTAAATAGGAACTGGACACCTGCAGTTGTGGTTGGAGCAGTTACTACAATATTTTGCTTACAGCCATTCCCCAGCACTGACCCTTTTGCCTATGCGCACCTCTTTACATGACACCTGCCAGTATACGCAAATGCTTAAAGTTTAATTTGTTTATGTCTACCTGTATCAGGCCAGCAGTTTGGGATGTGTACATATCTTCAGGCTGAAAAAGAAGCTGTGTGAAGAGAGGCGATGGGCATGTTGGTATCTCTACAAGAGGGGGTTATGCATGTGTTGATTGTGATGGATAAATATGTGGAAAGAAAGCAATACCACAGAGTAATATATTAATACAGGCAGGAGGGACATTGAACTGAGGTGGAGAAAACAGACCAAGGGGGTCACATAAGTAAACACATTTACAATATAACAGGAAATCCCCCCTTCAGTCTATCATGAATGCTGCTGACCTAACCAACCGCTCAGTGTCTGCAACCCCCCTCTGCTAATCCATGCACTGGCTTCCAATAACCCAATGGATAAAATTCAAAATACTAAGCCATCCACAACTCTGCCCCCGGCTATATCTCAAACCTCTTCCCAAAGTATCACCCTCACCACCCCTTCCGCTCTTCCAAAGACCTGCTTTCCAGCTCCCTCGTCAACTTCTACCATGCTGCCCTTCAGGACTTCTAGATTCTCTCCCATCCTCTGCAACTCTTTACCCCAACCTGTCTGTCTATCTCCCACTCTGACTGCCTTTAGGCGATCCTTTAAGACTCATCTCTTCAGGGAAGCCTATCCCACCTCAAACTAACCACTTAACTATCACATTCTCAAACAATTCATCCCCACACAGCTACCTCCTCATGTATCACTTGCCCCTCCCTGTGAGGGCTTACAATCTAAAGGGAGGGCCCTCCTTGCCGTCTTAAATTGTATTATGAGAGCTGTGATAGAAGCAGCAAAGGGTGCTTTCCTTTTAAGCTGAAAGTCAGATATTGTTATTGTACAATCATTTTCATCATTTTGTGTTTCCATGGTGACCACATTCTTTGAGGTCTATACAATAAAGTCAAACTAATTCCTTGAATGAACTGTAGTTATTAGGCTCACATTTGCAAGTATGTAATATTCTGAGAAGATCAAGTATTCGTCAAGGCAATGGTAGATCCTCGGATTTTTGTTTTCTACACTATAGCAATGGCTGCCGGCAGAACATGTCAGAAATTAATAACAGAAGCATAAAAATATATTAGCTTTGATGCATTATTACACATATAAATAAATAACGTAGTGGCATTTCACTCCCTTGTGAAACGTAAGGACTTTTAAGTATGGTTAAAGTGACATTAATGGGGGGGGCGGCCCCTTCTTCGGGACGCAGAAGCGATCTGGCGACAGGTAAGTCGCCAGGATCGCTTCTGTTGTAAAGCCGACAGTCGGCTCTACAAGTTTAAACAGACTCCCGGCGGCAAAAGTCGCCGGGAGTCTGTTTAAACAGCCCCGATGCTGGCGACGTACACTGTACGTCGTCAGTCACGAAGGGGTTAAATGTCTTTTAATCCGATCTTCTTTCCTGTCGTTTTCATCTGTCTCTCCAGCGCTGCTGCGGGTCTCCGATCCAGCGCTGACTCCTCTGTCCTTGCTGGCACTTCCTGTCCCACGGTGTCTGCATGCGGGTGCACACCATCCATATACTTACCTTGTGTCTCTCCTCATCTCCTGGTCAAAAATCTGAACTGCGCATGCGTCCACCTCAAGATGCTTTGCAGCCGCACAAGAAATTTCAGATTTTCGAACTGGAGTGCGGCAAAAACAGGTGTTTAAACCGCTTTTAAAGTGTTATTTTTGAAAACATTTTTTGCATATATCTACTGCTTTCTAGCAGTAGATATATGCAAAAAAACGGAGGGTTTAATAACCCTTTAATAAATGTTTTCATAGATGAGTACTAGGGATGCACTGATACCGTTTTTTTTTTATATCGAGTACTGATATATTCACTGATACCGGAAGTCCCATTAAGGAAGCTGGGCGTCATGTAATGACACACCGCTCAGCTTCCTGATTAGCCGGGAAGCCATCTCCATGCTCCCTCATCACCAGGTGATGAGGAAGAATTGTGCCGGCTTTCTGGCCAATCAGGAAGCCAGGGGACGGGTAATGACTTGCTGCCCAGCTTCCTGATCAATCAGGAAGCCGGGGGGCAAGTCATTACCCTCTATATAGGCAGGAACACACAAGGGATCCCGCACATCCCAATGGCAGCTGAGAACCCCCATGCGTCACTGCACCAAATCGGTCAAGCAAAACAAATGACAAACGCACTCAACAATTCGTCACCAGCTATACAGTAAGGTGCACACGAAATGGGCTTTGAACAGTAAAACAGTAGAAAGGTATCATGGCACACTCACAAACCAGCATGTAAAACAACTTGTCTCACCACTAAGGTTAATAACAGAAGTTTGGATACACGTCTTCTGCAGAAAATTTGAAAGCCGCACAGCTGCGCCAAGGCACCTCTTATAGTGCGGTCCTAACTCTAAACTATGAGAGTCTCCATCTTGGAGCACATGGGGGCAGAAGATTTCAAATTGGGTGCAGGTTTGTCAGGAGGAAGCCCAACCTCCTTAAAGGCACAGGAACACACAAGGGATCCCGCACATCCCAATGGCAGCTGAGAACCCCCATGCGTCACTGCACCAAATTGGTCAAGCAAAACAAATGACAAACGCACTCAACAATTTGTCACCAGCTATACAGTAAGGTGCACACGAAATGGGCTTTGAACAGTAAAACAGTAGAAAGGTATCATGGCACACTCACAAATCAGCATGTAAAACAACTTGTCTCACCACTAAGGTTAATAACAGAGGTTTGGATACACGTCTTCTGCAGAAAATGTGAAAGCCGCACAGCAGCGCCAAGGCACCTCTTATTGTGCGGCACCTCTTATAGTGCGGTCAAATTTTCTGCAGAAGACGTGCTGATGATAGAAGCTGACTAGTTACTATACACAGGTGCTCCAGTTTCATTAAATTCCTACCTGTGGGAAAATATTAAAATATAAATTCCTGTTAAACTGCACAGATGAGTGAAGGGTTGTCTTCCATCAATTGCAATATGTGTTGGTTGCAGTGGTTGAAAATTGGAGAGAAAGCAATAGTACAAAGCAGTACATTTATACAGACAGGCACAGGAGAGACATTTAATATATTTTTGCAGCTTATTAAATTGATAGCTGTGATAGCAGCAGTGAAGGGTTCTTTCCTTTTAAACTAAGAAAAAGTCAAATATTGTTGTTTTAAAATAATTTTCATTTTTTGTTTCCATGGTGATCACATTCTGTACAATATATTGGACTTCAGTTGGGCTGTATAAGGACAATTTCACTTTTGGTGAACTTTTTCTTTTATAAGTCCCCCCCCCTCCCCTCCCGCTCCTGAGTGCAGCCTGCTGTGTTGAATACGTTTCCCTCTCTGTTCTAGCAATTTTCACCATGCAGTCCTGCCTGGCACCGCACAGTCTTTGTTCCAGACACGTTGATGTCACTCCTCTTCTAAGTGTGCACGTACGCCATGGCACCAATCTCTTCTGTGAGTGAGCTGTGTGCCACATGACAACTAGACTAAAACCCACTAAGAAGAGGAACCAGCAGGGACGTTACCAGAAGATAGCCTGCGTGGCACCAGGCAGGGCAACACAGTGAAGATCGCTGAAACCAGGAGGAAGGGAAATATTTAACTGTGCAGGCTGCACAAAGTGTGGCGGTGGACTGTTATTTAAAGGAGAAGTTCTCAATAATTAACTTGTCCTTTAAGGCAAACTAATAAAATGTTTGCTAAGTGTGCTGGTCCCGTTACATCATTTTTTTGACACGCTACAGCTTTTGAAGAACCAATGACGAGCTCAAACCATCTCTATAGGTACATCGGAGAACGCTTAGTGTTTTTGAGTCTGGTGATCCTTTTGTATAAGCCACCATGACTAACAGCTGTGGAACATATTGAAATATAAATTAATGTAAAATTGCACACACATAAAAGCAACCAATAGGATTTTAGCTTTTATGGGGGTAGACGGGTAGGGAACCTCTCATTTTCACTGATTGCTATGATTGATGATTGCTATTACTGCACTTTACATATCTCTTTTAAAATAACAGAATAATTGTGATCTAAATGGTTTCGTAAATAAAGTATAATAAAGTGTTGGGTGTCATGCTTTACGATATTGTAAAGGCAGGGTTGATCATAGACATGAAGCTTTTCCTCTTATACACTGCTTAAGCAACAGCATCCACCAGCATTCATTGTTTTGGCACCTTCTTTCTAATTGAGTCAGTTTCCAAGCTGAAAATCAAATTACAGCAGATACAGCAGTGTTACAGACGCCTCGGAAGCATGAGAATGCGGTGCTGTGAAGTGGTGAGCAAATGCTTCTCACATTGCAGTTGTGAAAATAGGTGTTTGTGCTCTTTCCCAGCCTTCTGGGCATCCAAGGAGGCCCTCTCCAGTGCTTTATTGTGCATTTACAAGATGTATTGTGTGTTTGACTCGAGTTAGTCTAAATGTATAGCAATGAGATGTCCAAAACCTCAATAGTCATGTAGAAAGATAATTTGTAGAATTTCATTCTAGTTTTAGTAAAATGTTAGTATAGTCTTAAATATTTTAATATGAATGAGAGATCAGTTTAAAGAGATCCTGTCACCAACTTATGAGACTGCGGGTATAAGCACAGAAAAATCAAGTATTTGAAATGCTTACTTGCAGTGGTTTTCTGCTCCATAAATTATTTTTTTAAAACTTGCAATGTGCCTCTGAACTTGCTAGCAAATTTTATTAGTTAGTTCCCTAGAAAAGCCCCCTCCCTTCTGCCATGTCATATCCTTCTCCTCATCTGTGAGCATCTAATTACTGCCTACCCACATAACTTTTTATGTAGCTACTGGAGGAGGAGCAAAGATTGCTAGAACAATGGCCAACAAACCTTTTGGCACCAGGGACTGGTTTATGGATTTTTCCATGGACCGGGGGGATTGAAGGGGGATGGTTTCAGGATGTTTCAAGTGCATTTATTGTGCACTTTTTATTTCTATTCCTATTACACTGTAATATATAAGTGACATTATTATACAACTCACCATAATGCAGAATCAGTCGGAGCCCTGAGCTTGTTTTCCTGCTCTCGGGTGGCCAGTGCGGGCTCTCGGGTGGCCAGTGCGGGCTCTCGGGTGGTCAGTGAAGCTCTCGGGTGGCCAGTGTGGGCTCCCAGGGGTCCGGAGAGTCTCACTGCTGGCTGCAGAGGCAGCAGACGCGGCTCTCTAATTAGGCGGCCTTCTAATATGCCTGATTAGAGGGCTGCCTCTGCCTGATTGTAGTTAGCACGGATTGCCATCAGGCATAACAAGGCGATCCTGGCTGGCCAGGGTCTATTTGCAGGGGCGAGCCTGGAGCGGGAGCTGCAGCCCAGTTCCTAACCGGTCACGGGGATTGGGGACCCCTGCTATAGAGTATTTGCTGGGGCTGATGACATCACATCCAACATGGCTGTGCCCAGCAGTAGGCACAGGTCTTTTGGTTATATAAACAAGAGAGTGTTTTAATGGGTAAATAACATGCCTAAATACATTAAATGCACATATAATCTTATGGTAATTTTTTTTATTTGTCTGGCAACTGTGGGGA